TCACGGTTTCACGGTCTTGGTCATCCCAGCGGATTCTGAAGAACGTTGCATTCTTGCCATTTTTAGACATCGTTACATTTCAAGCAATATGCGACTCTTACGTCGTCCGCATCGCCCCAAAGCCATCATCGTCCGTGGGAAAGGAAGTAAGGAAGGTAAGTTAGCAGCCGCTCGAACGTCGGTCTTCCTTACACTTTTATCATGGGGCTATGTCCGGGTCAGGCACCCATCTTTTCATAAAGTGAGTGATGGAACGCTGACCTCCATTCCGATGACATCAACGAGAAGCGATTTTTTAAAGGCAGAGTCAACAGCAGCTGTGTGTCAAACATACTGTGAAATCTGTTTCTCTCCCATGGAGTGGGACTCATTTATCAGCCTCGGAAAAAACAAAGGCAAATAATCCGACGGGACTCGAACAAAGGATCATTTGGTCCTGAATCAGACGTTCTGCTGAGTGAGCAATCTCCGTCCATCAGAAGACAGACTACGGCAGGGCGAAAAACAAATTTCACCATGCCTTTCATTGTGATAATGAGCATGACGCTCCCCCTCGAATCCTCCCATCCGGGTTTGCATTTTTAATCTCCCTCTTCTACACAGCACTGCCTCAAAAGGCACAAGAATTGCCGTCGACAGCGGATACAATTGGCTTGTGGCCGCCTTATGCCACAAGGGCGTCGTCATAAGATTCTGGACATCCGCGGTTGGATGGATTCGATTAATTAGCGGGCTCCTTTGTTGCGCCGATATTTCAGGTTGGTATGCAGATATATAAGTTAAAGAAATCCCGTAAAATAAATAGAATTTTTTTAAGCACCACTGGCAGTCGCGAGGCAAAAATAGAAGCGCCTCATGACTGTCGGACAACGCGTGGACAGAAGTTGGCGGTCACGGCTAAAAAGCGAACAGAGCCGATGTTATCCTTGAGCGTGCAAAACACACTCAGGTCGAAAGAGCAATTCGCTCGCACAAAGGAATGACGCGGCGTCTCGCCATGGGCAACAAACGACAATGCCCAGCCGAGATCGTGGCAACCTCGCGATCCGACTGCCACCGAATGGAGGGAATGGCCACGGGACGCGAAGCGGCGGCCAACGGCTGGCCTCTGCGCCTTGCTCCTCGGATCTGACGGAAGCAGGCACTTGGCGGATGACGAATGTCAAGTTCACAAAGAGGTACCGTTCAGGTTTAAAGCAGAATGAGAACGGCCAGGGCACTTCGTTCTAGTCTGGTACATAGCTGCGCTTGGAACCCGCCAACGTTTGAACACGACCGGCACATTGCTCGCGCTACAGCTTACCTCAGGCGGTATGAGGACGGCGAGGTAATCAGTGAGTGTGGGAGTCGAC